AGTCTGCTCGTTTTATCGTGTTTAACCACAGCTGTCGTCGGTTTTTTGTCTGGCAGTGGCAGCAGATATGCGATCAAATTTCTAATTTGAGGCTGTATTACGTCGATTCTGGCACCCAACTTCACAGCAAGATGATATTTTAAGCTCCTTATGTAGCTGAATCTGCGCTGGTTTGAATGGGCCGCCTCCAGTTTCCCCTTTGTTTTGCTTCCTCCAGCTAGCGCTGTGACGTAGGCTGACCCTAGTTACCTGTGGTTGGCCTGGCCGTGCGTCACTCGGAACACAACAGGCCAATCAGAAGAGAGGCTCATGAATATTAATTAGACAGGCCAAAATCAATCTGTTCTCAGCAGAGCTCCTGAGAGAGGAGCTGTAAAAATATATTGAGATGGTTTTTGGTACTTATACCGCAAATATATATTCTTAAGGACATCAAAACCTAAAATAAAACTCCAGAAAGGTGTAAAATATGGGACCTTTAAGACTCACATGAGAATTCATAATAGAATAAAGCCTTTCAGCTGCTCTGTGTGCAAAGAGTTTCACACGTAAAGGATATCTTAACACTCACCTGTTAATTCATGCTGGAATAAAGTCAGGAATTTACCCAGAGGTATCCAAAATCATTTTTAGGGTGGCAAAGGGGTGGCATGGGGTCAATGAGGGGTGGCAACTCCAAAGCAAGCCCCCATGCATAGTTTTTGGGGATTTATGGTCTGACATACACAGTTGTGTTCACAAACATTGTATTGCTATTAAGTAATGATCTATACTGTTTAAAATGAAAAATAAATAACATTTCAATATTCATCATGGCACAAAGTCAATACACAATATAAAAAACTTCAACAGGTTATAAATGTTTCTGAGCTTGTATCACTAAAGAAGACATGCGTTTCTATTAAATTTACATATAGGCTACTTGGTATAAATCACGTTTAGTACAAATTTAAGGGCAACAAAAACCTTTGAATTTCCTAACATTAGAAAGAAATACAATAATATCAAAGCACTGAAACTGTTTTGAAAACAATGTTAGATTTTCTGTTATTAACAGAGGTGGGAATGTCTGTAATCACGCAGAACAAACTCTATCAACCATATACTCTAGCAGCACCCCAGCAACTGCATAGCAAGAGCCTAGCAACCACCCAGAATATCCTAGCAACCAACTAGCAACACTTTAGCAAACATCTAGAACATCTAACTGACCAAACCATTTACGTTTTTTAAACAAGACTTTAAGACAAGCCAGCATACATTTGTCTTTCAAACTTTTCAATCTAGTTATTACAGTTTTTCTTAGTTTTTTTTTTTTCAACTGCTTACGTTTTCAAAGCTTTACACACAAATCCAAGAATTGCAAACACAAAATGTAAAATGCCTCACATCTCTTGCAAAATGAAGCACTGCATTCAAAATATCACAAACACATCTCAAAAACAAACATTTGCAAACACCTTTGCCATAATATTAATTCCTATTAGATGTTTGTGTTACATAGAGGATTGTGTTGTGTTTTGCAAAAAGTGTTTAATTAAATTGAAAACTGAGTCAAAGGCTGAGAATTAGCGTATGGTTTTGGAGATTTGGTGTGTGGTTCTGCTGTTTGAGTGTCAGCTTTCAGAAATTGTGTGACAAGTGAAGATTTTGTGTGTAAGCAGTTCAAAAAACTGCAAATGCTTACAATTCAAATACACAGATGACTTTCCTGCCCAGTGAACACTGAGATCAACAACACTGTAACAAAAACTCTTACTAGGATTCAGGAATTATTTTTGCAGCTCAATGTCTATTACAGTATACATAAATTAAATTACAGATACAGATGTATAATTCAGCAATGAACTTTTGGGGACAAATAATTTTCATTTTACTACTGTAAGGTAATCGTGCAGTAGATGAAAAGCACTAGTAAAGTTCAAATACCAAAGAATTGTATATGAACTTGGTATGCACCACAATACAGTACAGCAAAAAAAAAAAAAATTTTTAAAGTAAATTTAGCATCCTCTGCACATTTGGCCAAATTTCATTACAGCAGTGGTTCTCAAACCTCTCCATGAAGTACCCCCAGCACTGCACATTTTGTATGTCTCCCTATATCTGACACACCCACTTCAGGTCTTGCAGTCTCCACTAATGAGCTGATGAGTTGAATCAGGTGTGATAGATGAGGGAGACATACAAAATGTGCAGGGCTGGGGGTACTAGTGATGTGTCGTTCGCCAACAAGCCGGCTCTAAGAGCCCATTTTTTGTAGTGAACGAGAAGAGCCGACTCCCGTCGGGGAGAGCCGAATCTTCAACCGGAGCCTTCTATTTTAGGCCAATTTAGCAACTGTGAATGGTTTGTGTATTGGTAAGCAATTTTTTATTTAATGTTTTCATAAAAACCTTATTTTTATGCATGTTTTCGTTACAAAAAAAAATACACATGCGGCTGATCACATGGGAGGAGGATCATACCATTATGTGAAAGAAGGAATGGGGACACAAGCTCCGAAGATAGCGAGTGTAGTGGTACAGGCCAGGTACACAGAGCGACAGAGAGCGCGTTGG